ACCTCCTTGTGCCATTAGGAATTAGGCAACGGCTGCGTAGGCTTTTAGCAAACACTGGTGTTTAATAAAAGAGCTGGGTGGATCTCAGATTCCGAATGAAACACACACGTCCCCAGTCACCCGGATTCAACCAAGAGGACAATCCACCTGCTAAAAGGCAAGTCCACCTCCGATTTTCCTCCCTGTCAATGCAGATCCCACCTGTGACCACTGTGATCCTACAAAGCTCATTACTTGAGTGACAAACTATCAACTTAAACCTCAAGTACCTGCACTGCTCCAAACTGAATTTTTTTCCAATTCCCATTTTAAAAAAATTATAATTCACTGCTTGCAGCGGGGAAGGCAGATTTTTCTTTACACGAGAGCGACAAATTTCAAGCATTATTTCCCAAAGCACCATAAAAGAGCTGCCAAGAATGAGAGGTTTGGATTGGTTTTGTCTTCCAGTCAACCCTGATTTTGAAGTTTGTGCAAAGCCTGGGGATCTCCCAGGTTGTTTGCAAGAAACCTGCCCCATGAGCTCCAGTGACTCATTCCCAAACCTCTCTGACTCGCAGCACCTGAACTGGCTGCACCCACGAAACACCCCGTGACCGGGCAAAAACCACACTAAATGGGTGCAAAAGCAACATCAGGAGATTAACTCAGAAAAGCAGATGAAAACTCCACCTTCCCCAGTTGCTGTTTCCTCCTGAGAAGAGGAACCGAGCAGCTGCTGGGCTTGGCCTGCGTAGGGATGATGAAGACGATGGGAGGATGAAGACAATGGGATGATGAAGACGATGCTGGACTTCGCTGGGCGCCCTTGCCTGAATTTCTGCACTATTTTCACAAACCCCAAATGCCGTTGCTCCATTAGAAAAGCTCGGATGAGGTTTCCCAGCTGAAGGGATACAGGGAGGCTGGTGTTTTTCTCCACTTGGTTTTAAAGAAATGTCTCAAAACACCATCTCGGGGAGTCTTTGTGCTGAAGGGGATGGGGGTGTCCAACGTGGGGGACAAAACAAGAAGACCCTTGAGATACACAGGAAAAAACGACCCACAAAGCTTGCACTTTAGAGAACGCAACTACAGCCTCAGATGTGTCCTTCCCAACCAAGATTATCCCTAAAGTTCATTAGAACAGGTGTTTTTAGTAAAAAAATCAAATGTTCTTCAAGTATCCTGAGATGTTTTTCTAGTAGTAAAGCTGAAATGTTACAAAAGTTGCAATAAATCAAACTTTAGCTTCAGGATAACTAATCACTACTTGGGTTTGTGTTTTTTCTGCCAGTCAGAAGTTTCAAAAGGTTAAACTCTTTCCAAACCCAGCACAATCTATGAGAGATTCTCAGCTCATTCTATCATTAATGCACCAAAAGGGCACAGTTCTTTTGTTTCCTTCCAATTCTCTTTCCCAGTTAAAAGCCCCGGGCGGGAGGTGGGATCCTGCCCAGCAAACCCAAGGCTGAGGCTTTCGGCGTCTGTTTCTACCACTCGAGCCATTTACAAACCTTTCTGACGAGAAATCACGAGAAACAGTTAATGTGCAACCACTTCCACCGGCCCAGCAAACAAAGCCAGCCCCACCATGGGGCTTGCAGCCATGCATCTACCTCGAATAAAAGAGAAAAAAGTTTAAACCCGCTGTATTTGCGTTGCCAGATCCTGGAATCATGGAATTGTTGGAGTTGGAAGGGACCTTCTAGAGACCATCCAGTCCAACCCCCTGCCAAAGCAGGGCTGCCCAGAGCACATCACTCAGGAGCATCCAGGAGGGGCTTGAAGATCTCCAGAGAAGGGGACTCCACACCCTCCCTGGGCAGCCTCTGCCAGGGCTCTGCCACCCTCACCCCAAACAAGTTCTGCCTCACATTGGAGTGGAACTTCCCATGGTCCAGCTTGTGCCCGTTGCCCCTCGTCCTGTCACTGGGAACCACTGAGAAGAGTCCATCCTCCCTCAACCCACCCTTTAGATCCTTGGAAGCATTGATAAGGTCTCCCCTCAGCCTTCTCTTCTCCAGGCTCAAGAGCCCCAGCTCTCTCAGCCTTTCCTCATCACGGAGATGCTCCAGTCCCTCCATCATCTTTGTTGGCCTTTGTGGTCCTACAATTAGAGAAAGAACTAAAACTGCAAGACCAGAGTCACGGTGAAATAACGAACTTGCCTGTAATTGCAAGCCTCCTGGCTTTGCTGAAGTCACCTCTCAAGTTCATTATCTCTTGCCGTCCCTCCCTCTGGAGGCACACAAGCACCTAACACTAATAGATGCCGTTTCCTCCAGCTCTTCCTCTCTATTCATCATGCGGGGGGAACTCTGGTTTTTTTTAATAAACTACACCTTTACATAAGGAACATTGCCATTCCTCATCATCAGGTCAGCTGAAGAGAGTCAACCAACAATTTTGAACAAGCCCAAAGCAGCAGCTGCAAAACATGAAGCTGGTTAACGCAGCCTCTACCACAGCTGGATTACCAAGATCAGGCTGGGGATGGAGAGTACCTGAATGTAACCAAAAAGAGGAATATTTTCTTCATTTTCTGCCCCAAAACCAAGGAGATGGGAGACGCCAGCTCCTCAAACCATCTCACCAACCACCCAAACCACCTCATATTCAGAAGCAAAATAATATAGAGATAAAAGACTTGCTCCAGCGTAAAAGCCGAGGGGAAAAAGGTCATTCCTTGAGATGAACAGGCTCGGACACTGATGGTCCCTTGGGGGCTCGTTACTGTTTCTAACGAGGGCATGAAGCACCCCAAAGCACACTGCAGAGAGGGGCAGGGAGGTGAACCCTGCACCGGGATGGACAAGACACCGCTCGGACCTCCTCTGCAGCCAATTCCGGCTTTTTTCAGGGAGGGGAAGGGAAGGGGAAGGGAAGGGGCCACCCAACCAGAGACTGCCGCCCATAAACAAAGGAAGTGTTTTTTGAAGACACCATCTAGATAGACAGGGGGGACATCACAGAAGCAGCAGTTACAAAAACAACAACAACAACAAAACCTCAACGAGATGTCTACAGAAACTACTTCCTCTGACCAAACACGCTGGAGATGGTATCAGAGGCTGCCGAGGTCAGAGCAATTCAGCACATGGCCGTTTCCCCAGGCTGGACTCCATTTCCCACCTGTACCCAGAAGAAAGTTATTCCAGCAGCGGTACCAGGCAGCCCACAGCTGGATTTTATAGTGCTGCTGTTTCATGGCCTTCTTCACCAAGTTTCACCAGCTTCTCACCACACACACTCGCTTTCAACTTGGCAGTTGGAGATAGAAAAGGAACCATACTGGTATCAGTTGGGATGGATGGATGGACGGATGGATGGATGGAGAGACATTGCTGGGAGGGATGTAGGGACATGGGGACAGTGCTGTTGCACTCCAGGAAAGAGGGATGGATGGAGGAACATCCCCGGGAGGGATGGAGAGATATGGGGACAGTGCTGCTGCTCCCCAGGAAAGAGGGAGGGAGGTAAAGAGGGAGAGATGAGGGATGGAGGGGTGGATGGATGGAAGGACATGCCCGAGAGGGATGGAGAGACATAGGGACAATGCTGGAAATCATCCCACCAGTTTTCTCACTGCTCAGATCTTAATACCTGCTACTGAGGGACCTAAAATTGCTGTTTTCTTGCACATGATGCCACTCCTTCCTCCTACAGGGAGTCATCCTCTGCCTTATGCCTGCCTCAGAGCACATTCACGCTCTAGATGGCCTTTTGACCACCTCTCTACACTTATGTGTAGAGTTAAAATAATGGTTAAGTGACACCTCTTTTGACTTCACACCAACAAGCCCCCACACAACTCGAACACACCATTTCCACCGTGCACCTCCACCACTGCCAAGCCAACAGCTGGGAAACAGGCACCCGAGACAGAAAGCTTTGGCCTAATACTGGATTTTAATACTTTTCAGACAAAATGACAGCTGTGTCTTCATTTATGTGAAGAGCTGGAGGACTCCCTTGGCCGGGGGAGGGGGGGGAATACAGCTCCCCACCGCTCTTCTCCCCTCTCCACCCAAGGGGCTGCAGCCCCGAAGGGTCCCAACAGCTCGTGTCTCTGATGACTCATGTGCACGGCAAGAAAAAGCCACAAGCAGGACTAGAAAACACAGAAGCCAGTATTTCAAAGGCAGACTAACAGGTTTGCTTTGGGGATCTCAAGGGGTCTTTCGGGTGACACTGCAAAATGGCACCATGAGAGAGGCCTCTGCTCCTTTCCATCCCCCTCAGGTGAGAGCTCTGCTCTGAAACCCATCTCCCCAGAGCCAGGGGGTTCCTGTGGCCCCATCCACAGCTTTTTGGGGAGCAGAACGTCGCCTCCCCTGCTCCTGGTCTCAGTCACACCTTGTCCCTGGCCACAGGCACGAGGGAAGCTGCTCCTCCTGCCCCCTCGGCCCTTTGTGCTGAGAGGAAGGGCCAAGGCAGCGGGACGGTGGCCCGGACGCACACCTCCCGTTCATAAAACACAACGTTATGTTGGGATCTGTGGTTTCCTCCTCCAAAACAAACAAGAAACCCAAAGCCTTTGCTCCCACCTGCTCTCACAGAAATGAGGAAGAGCCTTGGCTTGGGCTTTGGCCTTGCCCTTCCTCAGTCTTTCCCTTTGGCCTCCTACAGCTCAAGCTCTGCCTCTGGAGTCCCCGCCAAGGGCCCCTCAGGAGGAAGACTGGACCCAGGAGAATTGGGGGACTGGAGGAGCTCTGCTGCCAGACAACACCAAGTGAGTGTTTCTCCAGGAGCGCTTGCTCTTCAGGGCCTCTTCTCCTGGGCACTCCTGCCACCATCCCCAGGAAGCTCTGCGTCCTGCCACCAACACACACTCCAGCCCCTCCAGGGAAACCTGGAGCTGGAATAGCCTCTGTCTCCCTGGGAAGCCTGGAGATCCTGGGCCCTGCTGGTTCCACGTGCTCTCACCCATGCTGCTCTTAACAAACGGGGCTTGTACCTCAACAATTGCATCAGTCCACACTGAATCCTTCCCTGAAATGTCTGTCCTGTCTCTCTTGCAGCATAATCCCAGTCCCCTACCTGTATTGGTACCCTCCAGCCTTCCCAGTACCAGCTCCTGTGGTCCAGTATATCCTGCGCCCGAGGTATCGAAGCTTGATCAAGCCTATACGGGCCAAATTCCCCTGCTACCCCATCCTCAGGAAACCAACAGTGAAGAGTAAGTACAAACCCCAGAAGGTCCCTGGCTCTCCCTCAGCTCCTCCTTCACAAACACACCAATCTGCTGCTTCTGCCCCAAGAGAAACCCCGGCTCTGCAGGAGGGGGGACCTTGGTGGCCTCTCTCCTCTCCCCAAGGACAGGCTCAAGGCTCTTCCAACACTTACGCCTGGCCTGGGTCTGCTTTGCCAGGGACAGGGATGCACCTTGGAATTGCTCTCTGCTCCCCTCCTCTGTGCCTGATGCTTTCATGGCAGGGCTTTCGGGCTCATTTGTGGTTTCTTCTTTCTCTTTTGCAAAGGCTTTTACAGGAGGACCACCGCAAAACGCATTTAGAATGAAGACCCCCAGGTCTCTTCTTCTTGCGGGGAATGGTAAGGCCTTTCTCCAATGCTTCCCACCTCTCTGTCCGCTTTCCCAAGAAAATATGCGCCTTTCCATAAAGCCCCAGGGCATCCTGCTTTCCTTGGCCCCTCACGTTCAAGAGGAGAAATGGTGGATTATTTGGTTGGAGGACCTTTTGATCCGGTTCGGGAACTGGAAGGTAGCAAGGGCTGCAGGAGGAGAAATATTTCCCGGCTTCAGCAGCTGAAGCTGGACCCCAAAGATTTTTTTTACCCTTCCACGAACCAGCCTCTGCCCAATGACAACCGGCTCCTCACACTCTCCAGGAATGCTCACCAGCTGCATGTTCCTCATTTTCGGAGTGCCTGGCTTGGGCCACCGCCGGCAGCTCACGGAGACAGAAACCAGGGCTTGAATATAAAACATCCCACCGTGCTCCGCTTCTAAGCAATAAAACCAAACCGCCCTTCAACCCTTCTGCCATTGCCTGTCCCGAGGTGTCCAGCCCCTCTCGTAAACAAATCGCAAAGACCAGCTCATCCTTTCGGTTCGTTTCCACGCCGGCATCGCAGAGGAACCCAGGCGGGAATTATTCATCCTGTTTATGGAGCCCAGTTTAAATAGTGGGAAATAAATACAGCCCGGGGCCCTGCACACACTGGGACGGGGCTGTTCCCGCCTAACGGGCAGCTTTCCCTTCTGTCTGGTGATAACGGGTGGCTTCCTCTCACACAGAGCCATATCCAAGCCCCCTGGGGGGAAAAGCCCGTATGGAATCACGCACTGAGACCAGGGGGAAGACGGAGGAGAAGCTGCGGGACCAGCACACGCCATCTTCTACCTCCAAGTGTTTGACTCTGCAGTTCTACTAGAAAGCCGCGTGAGCGGCTTAGTTATTTATTTAACTAAAAGCTTTTAATTATCTCTCTCACACACACGCATTACGTGGGGCGGGGAAGGGGGGGAAATAATCAGCCTACAACCGGTGACCCGCGGGTTCAAAGGAATTGTGTTTTTTCACAGGAACAGCTAACTAGCCCAAATCATCTGCTGCTACCAAACCGTGGCTCCATCCGAAAAGCCCAGTGACACCCCACGGCACTCACCCTCGCCATCAGACGGAAGGGAACGCTCCCCAAAAACACACACAAAGTGCCCACTGGCCCGGCCACGGAGCTCTCCCCCCACCAGAAACCCACTGCAAGCTGAAACGCTCCTTCCCCCTGCGTTTTCCAGACTCTACATCGACATCAGGGAGATACAAAATCCTCTCCAAAAGCCCCAGAGTCCAAGAGCTGCGTGACTTAATAAATTATAAATTGGAAGCCGCTGCTGGAGACGCTTGCTCCGAGCACAGCGGCAAAGGCAAGCTGGTGTGGGAGTTTGTTTAAAAAGCCAGTATTAGAACGGCAGCAGGGTCGGGAGGAACGTGGCCCAGAAGAGTACGAGTGCTTGAAACACACCCCCCAAGCCCTGCAATTTCCATCTCTGTGGAACTGCTTCACTAAAATGAAAAAAAAAAGAGATTTAGTCAATCTACGGAGATGAATTAAAAGGACTTGCTTTTAATACATAACGTTAGCGGCATTACACAAGCAAAAATTCACATAAACAGAAAACAAGCGTAAACAAGCAACTGAACGTAAAGAAACTAATAATATTAATCTGGATTAACGACAAGCCATGAACGTTCCTACCTAATCCACCCGATGGACAAAGATAAATCCCTGCCACGCCGTGTCCTGCAGTTCTTTGCAACTTAAGGAACCACAGTCCTGATCAAAACAGCGCAATAGACAAGGAGCGTGAAGGTGAAATCTTTATGTATAACTGCCTGCTTAATCTACACAAGATTACAGCAAAAGCCAAGCACCGAGAAAAGCAGAACAATTGTTGCAAAAGATCACCCCAGCCCAGGGTGCAATTTCCACCCGAGAGGCAAAGCTTCACGTCCAGCTTCCCCAGGGGGACGTCCGACAGAAACGAAAACATCGCCCCACCAACCCCAATATCTGCCATTTCTTAACACCCCAGAAAAGTTGGACAGGGGTGAGCTGTGGGTAGGAAGAGTTTGGAAAAAAAAAATAAAAATATCTATCTAGAGTAAGGATTGTAAGAGGATTTGCATCCACAGGGCTGCTGTGGGCCCCTCAAAGCCTACCTTTATTAAAGCAACACCTCTGATTTATCGCTGCTCATTGCCAGGAAGGCAAAAGCAGCTTCAGGGAGAGGAGCAAGTCCAGGCAGAGCCAGCACCCGAGGAGAGCCCAGACCCACACACGCCTCTGCCCCCCGTGGGGTGGGAAGCACCCACTTTGCTTCCCAATCCAGCCGGGCTTCTCTATTCCAGGCAATCCCCTGGCCTGGGCAGCTGGAAAAAGCTCAGAGCTCTCCCCATCCACAGCATCTCCAAGCAGAACCAAGAAAAGGATGGTTTTTCCAAGAGAAGGATGGGATGTGGCTGAAGAAAAGCCTGCTCTGCAGCAGGACGGGTACCCTCACGGTGCCCTCAAGTGAAGAGGTTCTCATCAAACAGCCCCTCATTAGAGAGCACATCAAGGAAAGGTGTGCGATGAGAAACTCCCGCCCAGGTGCTGTGGACACACAACCAACACCTCCACCGACTTCCCCAGAGGAGAAAGAGCCAGCGGGTTACTCACTGACACCCAAAAATCCAAGATTCCTTTGAGACACTATATAATGCCCCGGTGAAAACCCATCATGGAGCCACCACCTCCCATCACCAACCCTCCTGCACATCCCGTTTGATTCCAGCGCGTTACACGCCAACACATTCCTGATATCCCCATCATCATCATCATCATCCACCCATCAACACATCAAAGCCCACGCAGCAGCCCCAACATCCCGGCGGCTGGAAGCCCACGAGCTACCCCACCGCAGCAACGCTTTGATCGCTAACGAAGGGATTTGTAATTGCAGTTGGCTTCCACCCGTACCTGCCAGCCTGCCTCCCCTCAGCTCAAACATCGCCTCGACGAGCAGCAAAACGGGGCGGCAGAACAGAGATGTTTTACCGCTTCCCGAATAAAAAATAAATTAATAATGATAACAAATAAAAACCAAAATCAAACGCTGTCAAGTGACAGCATCACACCCGCTCACACGGAGCACCCGGGCAGTCGGCAGCGCGTCACCGCAGACACAAGCTGTACCCTCGGAGCTTCGCTGGCTGAAGGAGTGTCAAGGCTTTGGGAACATACGGTGTGTTGAAAAAGGCTGAGAAAAGTCCTTGTCCCCTCCCTCCTCACCCTGCAGAGAGACCACTGCCTCCCCTCCCCTCCAGCACTTTCCTTCTGAGACATTGAAATCACCATGGGGAGATCGGGTGAAAGCACAGGTAATTCCTGTTCTTCTGATCAAAACTGATACAGGAAATAATTAATGCATTTTTGTTACGTGGAAAAAAAAAAATAAAAACATCCTCCTCCTCCTCTCTGTTTCATAAGGCTCTGATTGAGTTCCAAAGGTAAGGAGCGCTATGTTTATCCCGATATTTACCTCC